TGGGTTTTTTTTTAAATAACTATTTTTTGAATGAGTGAATAAATGAATCAACACCTTCCCTCCAAGATAGTGAGGGGCGATGTCAAGCTCGGTGTTGACACACGTGATTGCTTTAAAAAAAAAATAATGAAGAAAGGATAGAAGACTTAGCATATGATGTAGTGGCATTTGGTCAGTTGGCCTTCTTCTTGGCAGTGATGAGGCAGCTGGCTTACAAACACTGCAAGGGTATGGCCCAGACATGATCTGTTTAGGTAGTGGCTGGATGTCCAGCTTTCAGGGCATTGGTAAGTCTGACATGGAGAAGGTCAAGTGAGCTCAGATATGGACAAAGACCCAAGTCACTGGGTAGTGCAAGTGGTTAATGTGCTTGGATGCTAACAGAAAGGTTGAAGCTTGGAGTTCACCCAGAGGTACCTCAGAAGAAAGGTCTGGTGATCTATTTCCAAAAAAATTAGCCATTGAAAACCCTATGAGCTAGCAAGGAAATCCCAGACGTTGAAAGTGGTGGCCTCTGGGCCATCAGAAACCAGACTGTGGGGAGGGTAGAGGCCTGCTGTTTGTGTTATAAAGCTTCCAGTATATTTTGCATGCATGGAGTCACCATGAGTTGGAATTGACTGGACAGCAAATGTTTTTTTAAGGTGCTAATGTAGCCATTCCATGCCTTCCCAACAGGTCACTGTTGTGTAAGGTTCTCCATCACAGGCCTGACTCGATCACTGTTTGACTCTCGTTCAACCCACTGTGTCCACGGAGTCCCTTATTCAGTGACAGCTGGAACGGGTAAAAATCACCTTGGAGAAAACAACAACTGGAGAGAAGATCTTAAACAGAATGATTTTGTAAAAAGATAGCTAAACTAAGCTCCAGCATAACTGCTGCCCTGGCTTGCATCTCTTTTTGTATTCTTTGGATTGTGCAGCTTGCAGATCACATCCTGTTTCCAGACTGTTGAAAATCAAGTAAGAACTGGTGAGCTCACCTCAGTTTTTCCTCTTTATCTCTGACTGCTGCAAGTAAAAAATTGGCTAGCTCCAATCATTAGAAATTATTGTAAAACTAAATAATTGCTTGTCCAATTCTTCAGTGTTTTCATCTGATATTTAATATGCCCCCGAGGATAATGAGGCTCGTTGATAAGCGTCGTGGTTTACCAGAAACGCTGCAGGAGACTTCAAGCTGGGGAGCCAGCCAGAGTCCAGGAGGAGAGGAGGAGGATGGAGCCAGCTTGAACAGAGATGAACTGGGTCCTTGGGGAGGTGCAGTCTCTAAAACCAATATGGATGTTCAGAACTTTACCTCTTAGAGATAGTTCTAAAAAACCAAACCCACTGCCATCAAGTTGATTCCGACTCATAGCAACCCTATAGGGTTTCCAAGGCTGTAAATCTTTACAGAAGCAGACTGCCACATCTTTCTCCCGCAGAGCAGCTGTTGGCTTCCAACTGCCAACCTTTCCATCAGCTGACTGCTTTAACCACTGTGCCACCAGGGCTCCTTAGAGATAATCAGGTGCTTAAAATTAAACTATCACTCTGCCTTTAGCAGTTTTGAAGGCTGCCTCGTTTAGCTCTTTATCCTTGGGTTTAGATTGCTACTCTTATGTTCTGTACGAATCTAAACAGGTGGGATGAGTGCAGTGCAATGAATTATTTAATATGGCTCTTCTAGCCATAGCCTTCGTGACTCACACACAATGATTGAGTGGGTCTATGCAAATAAGGTGTACGGAAACTATGATGGTTGGGGTTATGCGTCAGTTTGGCTAGGCTACGATTCCCAGTATTGTATGGTTCCTCCATTTTGTGATCTGATGTAATTATCCTCCATTTTGTGATGTGCTGTGAATCCCAGCTTCTATGCCTGTGATTGTGTTAATGAGGGTGAATTAGGGTGTATCTTGAGTCACCACCTTACTAGAGGGTGTGACTCAACTCACCACCCTTACCCCAGTCATTACCCTTACTAAAGGGTGTGACTCAAGTCACCGCCTTCTCAAGTAGGAAGATTTTCCCTGAGGGTGTGGTCTGCATCAAATGTATATGAATGCTCTGGGGAAGTTCTCTCTGTCTCTCACACTGAATCCAGCATCCAGTTTGTGATCGTCTGACTGGGTGGGTTTGAACTAGCACCCTTTTGGTTAGTAGTCAAGTGAACTGTTTGCA